CGACATGTAAGCATGAAGAGCTTACCTTTAAGGTTTTATAGGCCCTACATAAGAATCAAATCACATGTGGAAAGAGTTCATTACCATTTGAAGGACACTATTACTCATAATACCCCAGACGTCACTCACTATTTCAGTAGTTACTAATTCGATCCCTCAACCTCTTAAAGAGGTAAACTCGAGTTCGTGCTTAACTTTATACGCACAATTATACATGTGTGTACTAGCCAGCTTATGTATAGAAGTTGAATTGTTCATTTAATCATCTTTGCTTTCTACTCGAATCTATCTGTTCCATATCAATTGCTTTCCTAGACATGTATCACGAATCGCTCATGGCGATTAGTAACATGCTAAAATAGCAACATAGATTTCAAAATTTCAAGAACAAACAAAAGGTCAAACGGTATTTCATTAAGAAGTTCTTTTAAATTTTGCGGGTCTCATACAATAAAGAATTAGGGAATATTCATTCGTTGACCCATTGATCTCTTGACACATGTGGTATGAAACACGTGTTACACTGTTTACATCATAGATTGAAATTTGTGTTTCATTTTTTCGATTATTCAACATCATACAGACCTTGGTCTAAATATATATCTCTTGATGTTTAACTCTAGTTCTTTCTTCAGTGATCCTTAAAATTTTCTTAGAGAAACTTTTGTCTGGATCACAAAACAAGTCATAAAATGTTGATGAAACTCATTTATTCACGTTCCCCGACGTAAGAGGTAATTGCTCATGTGAGAGAGGCAATCTCGTGACTTGTTTAATAGACTTTATATCTTATAAATAATCACATGCATACTACATTGAATATAAATTCTATAGTTTTATATAGAAGAGAATATTATAACAATCAATTCATTTTACAACATTGAAATATCATCATACTCTAAGTAAACCTAAAGCCTTAACATGTTTTTCAAATAAGTCTCTAGAGATGACTTTCATATCAGGATCAACTATCATTTCACGTGTAGGAATGTATTGCAAAGTTATTTGTCCACTTGTCACTTAGTTTCTCATAAAATTATACTTGATATCAATGTGTTTGGTCTTGTTGTGATACTAGGATCCTTTGTGTACATGATAGTTTATTGTCTATCACAATATAGAATAATGGGACCTTTAGAATTATTTGCCATACTTTAATGCTCAAAGAATCTCTATAACCAAACAACTTCTTGTACGACAGATGCATAAGCCACAAATTCAGATTTCATGGTTGAAAAAGTTGTGCAAGTTTGCTTCTTACTTTTCCATGAAATAGTACCACCATTTAGTAAGAACACATAACTTGATGTTGATTTTCTATCATCTCAGTTACCAGCGCAATCAACATCAGTATAACCTCTTATGAATAAATTAGATCCACTGTAACACAATGTATGATCTGTAGTTCCATTCAGGTATCAAAATATTCTCTTTACTTCTTTTTAATGATTTTTCAGGATTGAATTGATACATGCTAACTAGACTCACGTCATAACAAATGTCTAGGTGAGTGCGCATGATAACATACATGAAACTCCTGACAACAGTAGAATAAGGAACTCGAGACATGTCTTTGTTTTTTTCCGTCTTTGGACACATTTCAAGGCAAGTTTCACCCCTATCTACATGAGTATCCGTGAATTTGCAACAATTCACTCAAAAACATTCCAATATTTTCTTTATATAAGTTTCTTGAGATAAACTCAAAAATTTCTTAGAACGATCTCTTTTGATCTTAACATCCAATATATAGTCTGCTTCACCCACATCTTTCATGTCAAATAATTTTGAAAGTCATGACTTGAGAGTTTTCACATACTCCAAATTATTTTTAGCTAATAAAATAATCTACGAAAGTCATCGTGGTGTACTAAAATGACATCACCTACTTATGAAATCTCAAATTCCACTTCCTTGAAGATTATTTTAGGTCATAAATTGATCTTCTCAATTTACATACTTTCTTTTCTTGACCTTTAATAACGAAACCTACTGGATGTTCTATATAGATTTCCTCATTTAATTATCCATTCGGAAAAGTGGTCTTCACATCCATTTGGTATAATTCAAGATATAAACGTGTCACAATATCTAAAAGTAATTGTATGGGAGTAAACTTCACAACTAGTGAAAAAATTTCTCATAGTCTATTCCAACTTCTTGAGTAAAATCTTTTTTCCACCAATCGTGTTTCCTGTCTTTCTATGGACTTCTCTAATTTGTGTTTAACTTTGAGAATCCATTTATTCCCAATAGCTTTACGTTCCTTGGGAATGTCAACTAAATCCTAGACTTATTGGTTTTCGTGGACTCTAATTATTCCTTCATCACTTTAATCCATTCATCCCTTGCAAGACTTGATAAAGCCTAAGTTACAAAATTAGGTTCATCCAATTCTGTATGAGATACTAAGAAAACATAATCCTCAATATAATAAGATCGTTTAGGTACACCTTTTCTTAAATTCTTAAGTATTTGAAGTTCAGATTCCTGTATAGTTTTATGAGAATCATAACTCTCATTTGAACCATAAATAACTTCTTGATCCGTTGAATTATCAAGTATGTTTGATAACATTACCTGATCTTCTGAATTCAACATTTCTTACGAAGTCTCAACTTCACCTATTTCAGTATTTTGGGAAAATCATTTTCAAAAAATCTGACATCTCATGATAAAATTTTAGTAACAATTTCATCCTTCAATTTATCAATGAATAGATATTTCCTTATGGACTTAGTTTACAAAACTCACCAAAATGATCTTTAATATATGCCACACAACCCCACAATCATAGATCATTCAAGTTTGTTTTATCACCAGCCCAAAGTTCATAAGGAATGGAATACATTGGATTAGGAGGCACTTTGTCCAATATGTAAGCTGCAATCAATACTGAATCTCTACAGAAAGAGATAGACAGTTTTGTTTGCACCATCATTGATATTGTCATTTCCAATAATGTTCTATTCCTTCTTTCAGCAATACCATTTTGTTGAGATGTATAATAAGTAGTTAACTTTTGATAATACCCTTTTTCGTAAATAATTCTTCAAATTATTTTGATAAATGTTCACGTCCTCGATCGATTCTTAAAACCTTTATTCTTTGATCTAATTGATTTTGAACTTCATTCATATATCTTTTAAAACACTCAACTGTTTCATATTTTGAGATATCAAATAGACATAATCGAAACACGTGAAATCATGAATAAATGTAATGAAGTATGCAACACCAGACCTTTCCAAATGGTTTACCCGTAATCTTTATATCAAGACAATTTTCACAAGTTGACATTTCAATTTTGGTGAAAGAACCTAAATGCCCTTCTTTTGACAACCTATTCATTTGATCTTAACCCTATGTGATCTCACCTTGCATACCATGTAATAACATCAACATCGTTGTTACTTGAATAACATGTCATTACACAATAGTCCACATAATAGTCATAAGTTTAAGGATTACAATCTAATATGATAAAATAGAGATAACAAAGTCTAAAACCATATAAAACATTATCTAGAGTTATTCTAAAACTATTACAACTAAAAAACAAATCAAAATAAACGTCTAAAAGAATAGACACATATACTAAGTTTCGTTGAATATTTGGTGTATATAGGACGCCATGCAACATCAAAGAACAGCCTTTACACAGTCTACTTTTTAAGTTTCTATCCCTTTGACTTCTAGTTTCACATTAATTTCTACGTAGATCCACCTTGATTTAGATGAAACTCGACAAAACTCCACAAACACTTCTCGATCTCGACTCACGTGGTTGATGAATTTTGAGTCTTTTTCGGCTTATTGCATTCACGAGCGAAATGTCTCAACATTTGACAATTGTAGCACTTCATTTTGCTTTTGTCTCTCTTCTTGAAAAACCTGTTTTCCCTTTTTGGTATTTGGCCGTTTTTTTCTTTTACTTAGACGGTCCTTCTCCAGTATCTTTGTCTTTACCATTTCTTTTCCAGTTTTTCTTACGCTTGAAGTTTGAAGATTTTGTACCACTTGACTCTGCCTCATATACATTCGAAGCAACTTCAGCAGCACCAATGCACTCATCTTTATGTTCAACATGGCATACAACATAAAAAAATTGATTCTCTCATTATGGGTCAAGTTAACCTTCAAATGTTCCCAAATATTGGGAAGAGACTAAACCACTGCCGAGCTTGTTGCTCATTTGAAAAAAACATGACCAACACTCTTGAGTTGAGCTATCATGTTTGACATTACCCTAAGGTGTTGTGCAATATGACCCTCTCCTAGTTGATTAAAAACATGATTTATACCTTCCAGAGCATTTATATTTAATGACTCTAAATGATGTAATTGTCACTGTTAAGTTTTTCATCTTTGTTTAAGTTAGTAATGATAATTTTTAATGCCATGTCTATTATGAGTTATAATGAGGCAAGATCTTTTTGTTTACTATTATTTTTTAAATCAATTATGCTTTTGATATACACATTTAAGCAAATCAAATCTCATAATGGTTTCATATTTAAATGTAAAATCGAAAAGGCACGTAAGCATCTATTCATCATTTACGAATTAAATATTTAACCAAAATTTGTAACTAACTACTTAATGTGTACACCAATTTATTCAAGACTATAATCACATAGATTTGCATATCTAATGATCAAACACTATATGACATTGTGCAATACAATTATTGTTGACATCACTACTTTATTCAAGTCGAGCGAAACGTCGTGGTGACTTAAAAGATAATAAGTTACTTAATTTTAAAGAATTTAATGAATAAACGAGCATTAAAAGGGGTTGAAAAGGGTTTTAAGGGAGTCACCACCTAAGTTTTTGAAAAGCTAAGAAACCAATTAATTAATCTTAAAAGGAAGTCTACAAGATCAATTGATCTAGGTAAGGGGTTCAAGTTATTCGAAGGGAAGAGATTCGACATCCTTAGAATCCACAAATGTTCATCCCGTATGAATTAATTTTTTTCAAATTGATGAATAAAATAAAATAATGTACGAGTATAATAAACATGTAACATACAAAAGTAATAAATAAGATATTATAAAAAAACAACCTAGAGCTATCTAATGTCAATATATACAAGATAATGAATAAAGAGTATAATTCAAACGTAATTCTAATAGCTTCAATTGGAAGCAAATCTGTGTACCTGTAAAGACACGTAGAACTAGTGTTACTTATAAATAAATATGAGTAAAAATAAATGAATCAAATGATAACTTAAAAATAAAAAAACTCGTCTTATTAACATGGGAGACCTTGAAAATTGACGATAATTTCTTCATCGACCAGTTTAACAAATAAAAGTATATGAACTTAAATTAAATCCTTCTTTTAAAATGGGGAGGCCTCCAAATCGACCGAGAGAGTTTTCCATTGTCAAATCTTACGTTACAATGTATGAAGAGAAACGATTTAATAAAACACAAGATATCTAATATTAATCCCGAACAAAATGAGTAAACATAATAATGATAATAATAATAATAAAATAAAATACACAATACATAACAATAATAACACTAAAAGCAAACAACTAACAGGACATTAAATAAAAAATAATAATAGAATAACAACCAACTTGACAAGTAAACAGTGAATTAAAAAAACAAGTAAAATTAATTAACAACAAAATAATAATAACGTAATAATTAAATAATGTTAATGTAGTAACAATGATTTCTGTAACTTCCTTCAACATGAATGTAACCAATTTAATAAATTAAAAATAATCACATATGTACAAAATTAGAAAGATAAAGAATAAAAAAAAATAAAAAATTCATAGTCATGAACAAATGGGAAAATAAATAAAAATAAATAAGATAACCACATGAAATGAACGGATCCATACAGAGAAAAGCAAACGGAAGGCTTACATTGGTTTTGTGTTGGCTGGAGTTTCTGGTGTTGCTTCGAGTTGTCCATCGGAACTTGGCGGTGCGAGATCTGGTCAATTTCCACCTGTTGGCACCGGTTCTTTGAGAGGTTTTGATTCGCGAGCTCGGAACTCGTTGGTGTTTGTTCGCTGGAGAAGGAGGAGAAATGGAAGGGTGAAGGCTGGTTCGGGTTTGTTCCAATTTCACCGGAAGGTGAAGAAAATTGGGGGTGATAGGAAAGGAGAAGGAGCATTGATGGCCTAAGGGTGGTTTTGGCTGGAAAACAGAGAAGGAAAAGGGTTTAAAGGGTGGGTTAAAGATGAAAATGGCGAAATGGGTCTGGTAAGGTGGGGTTTGGCAGTGAGGTTAGGAGTAGCTGTTGTTTGCTATTGAAGAAGAAGAAGAAGAGCAACTAAGTTATTTCCGGTGGTTTGAGATCGGGGTTTTGAGTCTGACGGTGTTTAGCATGGTGGTCTCATCGGAAATGGAGAAGGGGGTTGAACAATGGTGAAAGGTTGGTAATACCAGAGTTTTTGGTCCTTTCCGGGTGGGTTTTGAATCAAAGTTTAGCCTGAAAAATGGAGAAAGGAGGTGGCTGGCCCAAAAAAAAAGGAGAAGGAGGAAAAATGGGGGGTTTTGGGGTGGTGGACTTGCTTGTTTTTGGTGAAACTCCAGTGATTTATCACCAGGAAAATAATGAACAATAAGATATTTCTTGACACGAAAAATTTGGAAGTATCGCCATAATTTTATTCATCATCCTCTAAATTTACTAAGTCAATTACTCTATATAGAAAGAATTGTAAAAACCGGGCTTAACTTATGAGCTCGAAATTATGAATAAAAAAAATGTTGGTTGATAAAATATGTGTGTATGCAAATTGTATTCATATTTGAATGAATTTTTAGAGTGTATAAAATATCAAAATGAATATTAACATATGTAACAAACTAAAATGAATATGGAGAAATATAATTAACGTAACCAATAACCTGTAAAAAATGTAATTTAACAAACATAATAATTTTATAAAAAGTGAACAAATATTTGAACATGTGGTTGTGACAAAATAATATAAACAAAATTAATCGAAAAAAATGCTAAAACATTGAAAAAAAATGACAATAATCAACAATTTGATTCAAATGAAAAAACATGTATTCTGAATTATTTAAAAATAAAATAGTCAAAAAGTATTAATTTTAGAATTATCAGACCAAACTTTGGTGTTAACAACTTGCCCCTTTATTTGATTACGATCTTTGAAAGAGATTCAGGTCAAACAAAGTTGACGAACCCAAATTTTGTTTCATAAACTTTGAGCAAAACAGAAGGAGATGTTAGTAGAGCTTTTGAGCAAGACTCTACGTCCGTCGGTTGGGCTGGAAATTGAAAACATTCACATAACATCGATATTACTTGCAAAATTGCACAACCAATGTGTGTACCTTTTTGAAAAGAGGATAAAGTGAATGACATTTCACTTTGAACGAGGTGACAACCCGGTGTCACTTGGAAAGGTGACCGACCCAATTAGAACATAACATGTCACTTTGAACGAAGTGACAAGCCAACATGTCTCTTTAAAAGGCGGACGACCCAACTTGAATTTAACATGTCACTTGAACGAGGTGACAACCCAACTTGTCTCTTTGAAAGACGGATAATCCAACTTGAACTTAACATGCCATTTGAAAGGAGATGACAATCCAATGTATGTCTTTGAAAGCAGGATGACCCAACTTGAATATAACATGTCATTTGAAGGGAGATGACAACTCATTCTTGAATTCAACATCTCAATTTTAACCAGGTGACAACCCAGCATGTCGCTTTGAATGGCTGACGATCCAATTTGAATATACCATACGAGGTGACAACTCAATTTGTCTCTTTGAAAGGTGGACGACCCAAATTAAACTTAACATGCCATTTGAAGGGAGATGAAAGTCCAACATATCTCTTTGAAAGGTGGACAACCCAACCTGAATGTAACAAGTCACTTTGAACAAGGTGACAACCCAATGTCTCTTTGAAAGGAGGACGACCCAAATTGAACATAACATGTCACTTTGAACGAGGTGACAACCTAACTTACCTCTTGAAAGGCAGATGACACAATCTTAATATATCATGTGACTTTGAACGAGGCGAAAACCCTACATTTCTCTTTGAAAGGCGGACGTCCCAACTTTCACATAACTTGTCACTTTGAACAAGGTGATAACCCAACATGTCTCTTGAAAGGAAGACAACACAATTTGAATATAATATGTCACTTTCAATGAGGTGACGACCCAACTTGTCTCTTTGATAAGAGGATAACCCAATTTGAACTTAACACGCCATTTGAAGGGAGATGAGAGCCTGACATTTCTCTTTGAAATGCAGACAACCCAATTTGAATATAACATGTTACTTTGAACGAGGTGACAATCCAACTTGTCTCTTTGAAAGGCAGACGACCTAACTTCAACTTAACATGTCATTTGAAGGGAGATGACAACCCAATGTGTCTCTTTGAAAGGCAGACGACCCAATCGAATCTCACAAGTCACTTTGAACGAGATAATAATCCGACGTGTCTCTTTGAAAGGCAGACGAACTTATTTGTATATAACATGTAACTTTCAATGAGGTAACAACTCAACTTGTCTCTTTGAAAGGCGAACGACCCAACTTGAACTTAACAATAAAACGTGTATCACAAAATCTTCAATAACAATGTTATTAACAAATGTAACTTAAAGGCAACACAAATTATGCAAATATGGCCTCATACAAACAAGGTATTAATTACCAATGCAATTATTCAAACTTAATAACACATGAATTAAAAAATGTCTATGTGAGATGAAAAAACAAAATAAAAAGTGTCATGTTGAACAACATGATAAACCAATTTTAAAAAAATCATTTTATTTGAGATGATAAATTAATTTTTAGAAGATATTATTTTGAAAGGTATGATGACCTAAATTTAAAAAGATGTCATTTTGAAGGGTACAACCACCCAAATTTAAGAAAATGTCATTTTGAAAAGTATGACGATCCATTTTTTTAAAAAAAATGTCATTTTGAAGGGTATGACGATCCAAATTTGAAAAGATGTCGTTTTGAAGGATATGACAGCCCATAATAAGAAGATGTCATTTTGAAGGATATGACAACCCAAATTTAAAAGATGTCATTTTGAAGTATATGACGACCCAACTTTAAAAAGATGTCATTTTGCAGGATATGACGATCAAAATTTAAAAAGATGTCATTTTGAAGGATATGACGACCCAAAAATAAAAAGATGTCTTTTTGAAGGATATGATGTCCCAAAATAATAAGATGTCATTTGAAGGATATGACGATCCAAATTTAAAAGATGTCCTTTTGAACAATATGATGATCCAGATCTATAAGATGTCATTTTGAATGATATGACAAGCCAAAAATAAAAAGATGTCATTTTAATGGATATGACGACCCAAAAATAAAAAGATGTCTTTTTCAAGGTTATGACGATCCAAAAATATAATTTTGACTATGAAATGGTCCACAAAGTTGTCAATTTTCTACTGAATGTCTCCCAAAGTGAGAGTCTTTCCTTTATATAGAGAGAATAAAGATTAGACATCCCTAAAGATCGGTCATTTCTATCCTTAATGATCATCTATTCTATCTCTACAAATCTGCTATTCAACCTCTTCAAATCTGCTATTCTATTACAATATTTATTCCTTTGATTCTACAACAAATCTATATGATCATAATAAATTATATAACTATATAATTACATTAATATATACAATTATTTAGATTTACATCATACTAACATCCCCACTCAAATTGATGCTGGTAGATCAAATAAGTATCAATTTGCCTACAGAAATCGATGGCGTGGTCGTGCCATAGATTTTGTAAACGCATCAGCTATTTGAATATTGCTGGATACATATGGAAGAGTAATGACTCATTTATCTCCAACTTCTCGTATATAATGACAACCTACTTCGATATGTTTGGTCCTCTCATGAAAAACTATATTAGTAGCAATCTGAAAAGCACTTGTATTATCATCATGGAGAGGACTAGGATGAGATTGAGCAAATCCAATCTCAGCAAGTAATCCACAAAGCCGTACAACCTCATAGCAAGCAGTAGACATGGATCTTTATTCAGCCTCTATTGAAGATTTTGGCATATCATCCTTCTTTTGACTCTTCCAAGATTTTGATGACTCTCCAAGAAACATTCACCAACCAGTGACTGAACGACGAATATCAGGACATCCCACCCAGTTAGAATCACTAAGAATATTAAGACGAATAAGAGAACCGCTTGGAAAGAATAATCCACAAGTAGATGTTCCCAGAAGATACCGAATGATGCGACGAATAGCCACCAAGTAGAGATGACAAAGATCTTGCATAAACTGAATAGCTTGTTGAACTGTAAAAGATATATCAGGACGAGTAATAGTAAGGTAATTCAGACTCCCAACTAATTGTCGAAACATAGTTGGATCATGAAAAATATTGCCTTCCTCACAACGATACTTTACATTCAATTCCAATGGAGTATCTATGGAGGAGAAATCTTGAAGACCAACCAAAGAAATCAGATCCTAAGCATATTTTTTTTTGGTTTAGAAACACACCGGAAGCAACATTATGAACTTCCAAACCCAAAAAATATGTAAGAGTACCAAGATTTTTCATATGAAAAAATCTTTAAGTTGTTGTTGGAGGCTAGTGATTAGTGAAGAATTGGTTCATGTGGTAATAATGTCATCTTCACACACCAAAAAAATAACACAACCTGCAGATGTTTTTCGAAGAAACAAAGATGAGTCATATTTGATCTTCTCAACATAAAATTATAGCAAAGTAGATCGAAACTTATCAAACCAAGCTCTTGGAGCTTGTACTAATCTATACAAAGACCGCTTCAACTTGCATACATTTGTTGTAGGCGATGAGAACAAACCATGTGGAGATTTCATATAAATATCTTCTTTGAGATCCCCATGGAGAAAATCATCTTTGACATCCATTTGATAAAGAGACCAGTTTTGTGAAGCAGTAATGGCAATAATAGTTAGCACCATAGTAATTTTTTCTACGGGTGCAAAAGTCTCCTCATAGTCCATCCCATCCTCTTGTATGTTACAAAGAACAACCAATCGAGCTTTATATCGATCGATAGTTCCATAATACTGGAGTTTGATTGAATAAACCCATTTACATCCAATAGGGCAGACATTTGAAGGACATGAAACAATATCCCATGTGTCA